ATGTTTCCTTCAAATACAAATAAACATCCAAACATACCTATGAACATCATTTCAGTTTGGAACCATGTTTTTCAAATGAATGAACATCTCCATTTAATCCTTCTCCTTCAATTGAGAAAATCATTTTTTGGAATACAACAGTGCATGTCCCAAAAAGGAGCATACCTGCAATAACAATGGCTTTAGCTAAGAGTGATGCCATTATCAATAAAAAATAATTCAATATTTTTAAGTTTTAGTTTTTGTTTTCTCTTTCATATAGAATCTTCCGTTTATTCTTTTTTTACCTTCTCTTTTTGAATGAATCATATCTTACATATTTAAAATGCAATTTCTGAGTTTTATTTGTTTATTATTTAATTGGTGATATAGTATCTTTTCGAACTTTCTCTTAATTATTTTTCATCTTTTTCTTGAAGAGCCTCTAAGAGATCTATTAAATAATTTTTTTGCAATTCAAATTATTTTTTTTGTCTCTTCAGTAAGAAGAAGAATAAAACTAAAAAAACGTAGTTTATTTTATTATAAATGCAATTTAAAAAAAAAAAGAAAAACATAAAAAAAAAAAGAAACCAACTGAGAAAAAAGAACAAAAAACAATCCAGAAAGTCACAAGATGAATAGAATTACAGGAACATTATTATTAATTCCACGAGAACAATACCCACAAGGAATTCGAGAAAATTTGAACGAAACATATAACAGTATAGTGAAAGTAATTCGAAATTATTATCAATGGAAAGTGATGATTAAAAATTTCTTTCATTCACAGTTATTTTGGGGAATTATTTCCATGATTATTTGTGGGTATTGGAATAGTGTTTTTCAAATATATGCTGATTCAATTGCAGGATTTTGGAAATATAAACATCAACCATTTGTGTTAATGGATATATTTTTTGATATATTACCATATGTTCAATCAAATAGAATATCTGATTTATATTTAAAGTATTGTATCGTTATAACTATTATAAGATTTTTATTTACTCCTTTACGTTCAATTATTCTTAGAAGATATTGTTTCATTCAAGCTGTTATCTTTCTTTTTAGAGGTTTTAGTGTATTTGCAACATTATTACCAAATCCAATGATTAGTTGTAAGTCAGATGCAATTGGAAATCCATTTGTAGAAGGATTTTATGTAATGTTAGGGTATCATCATACATGTGCAGATTTATTGTTTTCTGGTCATACAGCAAATTTAACAGTGTGTGCATTTATTTGGGAATATTATTCAGAAAAAGTTCCATTTTTTAATCCTTTGGTCGAAAGAATTTGTGCATGGGTTATTGCATTTATTGGATATTTTATTTTTCTTGCAAATCATTTCCATTATTCATGTGATGTATTTATTGGATTTATTGTTGCTGGACTTCTCTTTAATTTATATCACACTTATATTAAAACGATTTCTACTAGAAATAACTTTTTTAATTCTTTCTTAAGATGGTTCGAAGAAGACTCTTTAGAAATTCCAAAATTAGTGAGACTTGCTTCAAAAAAGACTCTTCTTCAATAGATTTATTGTATTCTTTTCTGTATAGAAACCACATTGAATGTAATTACATTTATTTTTAATAATTTTAATATTTTTTAGATTAAACATCAAAGTTTTCATTAATTAATTAAATTGTTAAAATTATAATAATTTAAATTATTAATAAAACTAATGAAACCCTAACAATTAAAAAATTAATTCATAAAAACATTAATGGAAGAAGTTCATCCTATCTTTGATTTATTTGAAAAAGCTAATACACCATTAACTAAAGCAACTTTACTTTCTATTGAAACAACGATTCAATCAAAAAAATTAGAAATTAATAACATGACAGTATACTCATTATTAGTTGAATTAATTAATCAGTCATTACCTTCACCACAATCAGTCAAAACATTTGAATTACAAATTCAATTTTTACTTCAAATAATTGAAAAAATTCCAAAACCTATAATTGCTAATGATTTAAATAGAATTTTGCCATTAATTAATGGAGTTCAATTATACTATAAAGAAAATATAAGAAATGTTAAATATTTATTTAAAATATATTCTTCGATTATTCCTAAAATTCCAAAAAGTTCATATGAACAATTAAATACTCATATGACTGATTTATTCGAATCATTAGAAACAGTTCCAGATAATTGTGAAACTACTTATGGTCAATGTATTATTACTTTAATTTCAGAACCTTCTTTTAAATCTTCATTTGGAAAGAAATTAGTTAGTACTCTTTTAAAAAAGTTATCAAGTAAAAGTACTCCTATTGTTGCTAAAGCTTTACATCTCATTTCTCGTCTTCTTTCAAAATTATCAGGAAAATTAGCTAATTCATTAATTAATAAATTAACAGAATTATCTACTACTGCAGTTGAAACTCCATTGTTAGTTGCTTTGTATAAAAGCTATACTTCTGCTTTAATAAATAAAATGGAACCCAAAGTCGTAGAAGCTATTTCTAATTCACTTATAAATCATCCACCAACATCATTTGATATTCAGTCATCAATTGCTTATTCAACCACATTATTTAATCTTCCCATTGCAATTTCAAAGTATAATACTCAATTAGCATGTGAAACACTTGAAACATGTATTAGAATTGTTGGAAAATATTATCTTGATGCAGGAGAGAATGCAAAGCAATATACTGATTTATTAGGTAACATATTAACAAGAGCATTTACAGAACCATTTGTATCAATAGAACCAAGTCCAGTGAAATATGTTATTTCATATGTTGTAGAAACTTTATTTAATAAAAAGAATCATTTATTATTTGAAGAAACATTAAAAATAGCTAAAAAGATATTTATTCATGGAAAACCTAATTTTATAAATCAATTTGCTCCTTTATTAACTTTAATGAATAAGTTTTATGAAAACACTGCTATTAGAGAATCTGTTGAAAAATGTTTAATTTCATCATTTGAACATTTAGGTGTTAAATGTGTATTAGAAATTCTTCCATTAAATTTAGATGTGTCCATTGTTCAAAGAGGAAATGATGGTAATCTTATTAACCATAGTTATCTTATTTCGATTTTATTAAAGTGCCATTTAAGAGAAGAATTAAAATTTTATTATTCATTATATCAAACTTGTATTCCAATGATTAATAAATTAATTGCTAAATCTGTTGAATTAAATACTCAAGTAGAAACTAAAAATTTACAAATAATTAAAAATCATTTTATTTCATTACTTCTTGTATTTATGAATGATCCAACTGATTATGAATATTTCCCAGAAATGATTGATCTTATTATTGAATATTTAAATGATGAAGAAAGAACTAAATTAGGATGTGATATAATTAATAGAGCTATTCTTCATCATATTAAACAACCAGAAGTTATTCAAAAAATGTCTCAAAAATTGGTACTAACATTATTTAATGTATTATCAAAAAAAACTACAGTTCTTCAACAAAAACCAATATTAAAATGTATTGAAAATATATTAAAACAAACACAAGGAGAAATGGCAAATATTTTATTTAAAAATGTTATTGTACAAATTATTAAACATAAAGAAATACTTGAAAATGATATTACTATTATTCGTACCGTTGGGCTTATTAATTTAAGTATTTTATTTATTCCTGCTTTAAATGAATCTTCTATAGAAATTTATTTAAATGCTCTTGTTCCAATGTTAACTGTTAGTATTCAAAGAATTGTAAAATCTACATTAAAAGCATTAGCTGAACTTACTAGATTACAAGGAACTTATATGTTTAATAAACATCGAATTGATATTGAAACATGGTTCGTTATGGGAACATATAATGATAAAGTATATGAACGTGCAATTCTTAGAGGTTATTTTGTTTATTTAGGTGTTATTAAATCATTAAGTAGAAACGAATTAAATCAAAAAGCTGTTGAATTCCTTGCTTTAGTTATTCGATTAACAAAAGAAAATAATAGAAAAACAAGAGAAGAATCATTTGAAATGATTGATAAAATGGGTATATTATATGATGGAAATTATAGTAAAGTACTTGAAATGATTTGTGCATTTATTGGAGAGGATCCTCATATTGCATCATGTGCATTCATTGCATTAGGAAGATTTTTAATTAAAGGATATGACCATTTGTCTGAAAATACTAAGAAAGTAGTATTTGATATTTGTATTAATAAATTAAGTAAATCAAGAGAAGAGAATAAAAGTATTATTAGTACTATTAAAGCATTATTAAAACTTGATAACGATATGTTTAAAGAACGTATGCCTGATATATTAAATGCATTTGGTAAATTAAATGAAGATAATAGAAGATATTATCGTATGGAAATTAAACAATTTATTGAAAAATTAATTAGAAAGTTTGGAGAAGATACTGTAGAAGAAGGAGTTGTTGGAGTTGGAAAAGAATTAATTCAAATGGCAAAGAAATATAGAAAAGATAAAAAGAGAAGAGAAAGAAAAGAAAAGGAACGTGGAAAAAGTATAAAAGGAAAGAATGAAGATAATGAAGAAGATATTATTGAAGGATATGAAAGTGAAGATGAAAATGAAGAAAAAGATGAAAGAAAGAGAATGATAGAATCAGAAGATGTTGACTTATTACAAATGAAGTTTATAAAAGAAACTGCACCAAAGAAAATGAGAAAAATTGGAGAAACTGACTTCCCAGTTGATGCTGAAGGTAAGTTAGTAGTTAATGAAGAAGAGCAAAATAAAAGTGAAGAAGATGTTGAAGAAGAACAAAATGAAGATGGAATGGAAAAAGAAAAGAAAGTAGTTGAACAAAAAACACCCAAAACAAGAACCTTTGAAAGAAAGTTGTTAAAAAAGAAACTTGAACAAAGTGAAAGAAAGAAAAAAATTAATGATGAAGTTGGAAAGAGGTTTAAAGCTAAGAAAGCTCAAGGAGATGTTATGAAGAATGGAGTACAGCCATATGCCTATGTTCCATTAAAACGATCAACAAAGAAAACTAAATTAGAAACAGAAACAGCTTTTAAAACATTAATGAAAAAAGATAAAGGAACAGTCAGTCTAAAAAAACCAATTAGACTTTCAAGAAAAAGAACAATAAAGAAATAAAGATTGAATAACATTGAATGGTTTTTTATAATAATAAATTTTGTCATTACTTTTATTAAATGAAAAATAATAATTTTTTGGATTAGAAGAAATTGTTAAGGTTCAATGAACAAAAATGATAAAAGAATAAAATAAACTCTATATTATTAAATTTTAATATAGTTTATTAGAAATATAATTTTAAAAGGTTTATATATTTTTTAATAATAAAATGAGAAAAGATGTTTTGATAATTTGAAAAGAGAAACAATTCAGAAGAAAGAAAAAGACTTAAAAAAGAACTTAAATCGTTAGCGGATGGAGAAAGTGGAGGAGGGGTATCATACAATTCATTTATGGAAAGGAAAAGTGATAGAAGAAAAAGAAATAACATATTATATATATAACGATATGGAAATATTACAAATTGGAAGGCAAGTACCTATTATTTTAAGAAAGGCATATCTTAAATTACATCCAGAAGTTAAAGGAATGAAAGAAGAAGAAATGAAATTAAGTTTTGAAATTGTATTTGATAAAGAATATTATTTTGTTTGTAAAGATAAGTGTGAGTATTGGTATTGGATTAATAAATTATCTTATTTTACTCATAATATTGGTGTTCTTGGATTTCCTTTATTAGTTGCTATAAGAAAAAGTGGATGGAGAGTTCCTAATCCAATTTATAGATGTATTGAATATCTTGAACATAATAATGGTATTAACGTTGAAGGAATTTTTCGAATGAATGGAAATGCTAAGGACATTGATAGAATAAAAGACCTTGTTGAACATGATCAAGATATTCAATTTACTCAAGAAGATGATTGTTTTATTGCTGCTTCATTTATGAAATTATATTTAAGAGAAATGCTAGAACCATTAATTCCATTCAATTTATATGAACAATTTATTCAATTACCTAAAGGAGGTTCTAATATAAAACAGTTTATCTGTCAATTACCTGAAGCAAATCAAGATACTTTATGGTTTATTCTTCAATTTTTAAAGAAAGTTATTCATAACTCTGAAAAAAATAAAATGAATGCATACAATCTCTCTACTTGTATTGCTCTTACTGTTTGTTCTCCTCAATTAACAAAATCAATTGACCAAATTGAATATACACTTGGAGCAGTTGAATCTTTTAGTTTCTTATTAACTCATTTTGATGAAATGTTTTGTGAAATTGAAAAGAGAAACATGAATAAAGGAATGACTTTACCAACATTCCCTGCATTCTCTCCTACTTGTGTTGACTTATCTTCTATAGCACAAATAATTAGAAATGACATAAAAAAAGGATTTCGTTCTTCTTATAAGAAACCTTCTTCTGGATTTTCTTCTCCAATTGCATATTCTCCAAGAGGAGAAGATATACAAGGAGAACATCAATTTAATTTTAATCGTGGAAATTCACCACCTCTAAGTCCACCACTTAAAAATGATTTAAAATTGTCAAAAACTAGTTTTTTACATCATTCAAATAGATCAAGAGCTTCTTGTGGGGATATTCTTGAAATTTTAAGTCAAGAAAATAATACAAAGAAAAAAACTGATTCGGCACTAATCACTTCTTCACAAAAACAAATAGATACTACTATTCCTGGAAAAATATGTCGTTCTGATCCCTTCTTTATGAATCCAGACCTACGCCAAAAAGTAATCGGACCAATTAAATCTCCTTTTGATAAATATAATGGTGATGTAATTTCAAAACAACCATCTATGTAAAGAGGAGTATTTAATATTTTAATTTCTTTTAATTGAATAATGTTTTCATTAATTAATGAATAATTTTATTTTTTTCTTTTCTAAGTATAACCAGTTCATTAAATGCTTTTCTTCTCTATTAAGTTTATTGTCAGAAGAGTATCCTTAAACAAACACAGTTGGTCCTCAAATTATATGGTTATTAAGACATAATATTATATGTGTTAATAATTAAATTCAATTCTAGTCACTATAAAAATTTAAAACAAAAATTATTTGATAAGTATAATTATTATTGTTCTTTATATAAAAAGGAGGTTTCTCAGTTTCTTTCATGCTCTCTTTCATAATTAAAATGTTTATTTTTATAACTTACTTATCAAAAAGGAATTTCCGTTGCAATGTTTCTTGTATTTTTTTGTTAATTTATTAAAAAAGAAAAATAAATAAAATAACAAAAAAGGTAAAATTTGATATACAACTGGTATTAGATTTAATTTTATTCAAAAGTTTTTTGTGTAATTAAAATAATGTGTTTTAGATATTATATAATAAAAGAGAATATAACTAATTTTCTTGTTACATAAATTTATAGAACTTATATAATGAAAAGAATTATTCAAATTCAAAAATTTTTATATTTTCTTTTAAAATCGAATTTCAAACATTAAAAAAAATAAACCAATAAAGTAAAAAAAGGAGAATTTTTATTTAGTTCTTTTTAGTTGATTTCTTTTCTTCTTTAGCCCAAACTGGTTTTGGAGCAATAAATGGGATCTTTTCAACACCGCCAACATAAGGTCTAAGGACTTCTGGAACAATAATACCATCTTCGCATTGATAATTTTCTAAGATACAACAAAGAGCTCTTTCAGTAGCACATAAAGTAGAATTAAGCATGTGGACATAGCTTTTGGTTTTGTCCTTCTTGTCAGTTTGTAGTCTTACTTCAAGTTCTCTGCTTTGATAGTCAGTACAATTACTGCATGAGACAAGTTCTCTATATTCATTAAATCCTGGGAAATATCCTTCAAGATCATATTTCTTAGCAGCGGCATTATTAAGAGCTCCTGAAACGATATTAACGACTCTGTAAGGAATCTTGAGTGATTCAAAGAAATCACGTGCATTTTTAATCATCTCTTCATGCATTTCCCAAGATTTATCAGGAAGTGTCATACAAAATTGTTCAATCTTTTCAAATTGATGAACTCTAAAGATACCCCAAGTATCTTTTCCATGAGCTCCAGCCTCTTTTCTAAAGTTAGTAGAGAATCCCATATATTTAATTGGTAATTGTTTTGGAAGAATCCATTCTCCAGCATGGAGTGCAGTTAATGGTTGTTCTGAAGTAGCAATTAAATACTTTTGATCATCTAATTCAACATCTTTACCAGTTCCAACATGGTATAATGTTTCATCGAAATCTGATAATTGTGCAGTTTAGCCATTAATCTCTC